ACATTTGCCATGCACGACAGAGTCCTCAAGATCAAGAAGAACCTTGGGTGATGCTTTATTCATCTTTTCCAAAGCTGGACCTGATACTGACGTTGAACGTGAGAACTGTTCTTTGTATTTGTGGAATATAGTCTTTCCAGAAGAGTAACTGAAACACCCCAGCAAAGCATCACCTCTAATGCAGACCTGGCTGACCCAGAAATCTCAATCAGCTGACAGCAACCTTAAGAACAGAAGTCATTATCTTTGTTTCCTTAAATTTATCTTGTGATTTATATTTCCCCCCTGTCTAGTTCTCATACAAATCTTGGAAGGTAAGTTATTCAGAACACCATTTAAGAAGAACACCTGAAACTCAGAAAGAACGAGAAGCAAAGTCAAGGCCTAGGGAGGAAGCTCACTGAGTAAAGCACTTGCTGTGTACCTGTCAGGACCTGAGTTCAAATTCTAAGCACCCACACAAAATGTGGATGCAGTAGTGTATGCCTGTAACCCCAGTGCTCCGATGGGGAGATGGGAGGTGGAGACAGAGTTTCTGGAAGCTTCTGGGTCAGCTAGCCTGACTTATACAGAAACAAACAACAAAAAGACCCTGCCAAAAACAAGATGGAAGGCAAGGACCAACATCCAAGGTTATCCTCTGACTTTCGTGTGTGCACTGAAGTATGTGCCTGGATACGCACCAACACCCCCCAACACACAAACACATAGTCACACACAGTACATGATTAAATAAAAAGAAACATTTATCATAGACTTCTTTCTATGTTTTGTGAGTCAGTTGCAATGGTTAGTAACTTTCTACAGCCTAATGGGTAATTTGGGCTCTTCCTTGATAGTCTTATGCACTCAAATACTCCCAGGCAGCGCCAGGGATTTCTGTGGAGCCAGAGGTTGAAGATGTAGAACAAATCATATCCGAGATTCATAGCAGTATTGGGTGAGGAGGAATCTGTACCTAATTTTGAGTGAGGATCATAAACAGCCTTTACCCTAGAAGCTGTCGAGGGCCCGTCCAGTTAGCTGTGGTCCTGGGGCGGGGGAGGATTCAGGGACAGCAGGTCACTGCCTTCCCACCTCTAGGTCTACAACTCTACAATCTCAAAATGCATATGAAGATAGAAACCAAGTCATCGACTTGGATTGGAAGAAGCATATTTCTTAGAAAATAGACATGGGCTGGAGAAATTAAGCTGAATACTTCTCCAGATGCATAAATATGGTCTCCTTTCAAGTTCCCTGTAGCTGCAAATTCCTGTTTCAAGATCAGCTCCGTGATTTATGCTGACATGGCTGTCAGTGCCCTCAATTCTTGTAGATATTTAAATGAGAATTTAAAAAGATCTCATTTTTAATTTAAAATGATCTTGATTTGAATTTAACAGATAAATTCTTAGTATATTTCCTAGAACCCAAGGAGGTGAGACTGGGGGCAGGGCAAGTAGACACACAGTTTGACCTCTTAATTCTTCTGTCCCTTTTCTTTCAGGCTTTATGCTTAGCATCTTCCCGTCACCTGTAAGCCCATAGTAACTAAGATGTCACGTCTTACTGAATTTCTATTTTGCTATTTTTGTCAAAAGGTAAGTTTGAAGTCACAAGTGTGAGAAGACCGATCTGGTTCCTAATGGGAGGGAGTTGAAATAAGTGGTTGAAAGAGTGACTTCTTCACACCCTTAGATTAGCATTGCTACTTTTAGATAAACTATTCCTGAAGTGATTAGTGTAGGAGGGTGGGTTTAGTCCTCTATTTTCTCCTTTAAAACACTCGAAGTGAGCGATCCCAGAAGGATCGGTTTTCTCACTTGTACTGAAAATGTCACTCTAACAGTTATCTGTCTGCACAGTTGAGTTTTGAGAAATCTTTTGAATTTACCGAATTCTCACCATCTCTCCATCCCGGCGCTAAAAATGACGAATGCAGCTTGGAGACCGGGGGACTGTGATAGCTGGTCATTCCCAATCACACATACCCTGCCCCCAACAGATACAGAGCTGACATAAACCCTTAAAAGTTGAAAATATCCTAAATGCTGATTGCAATGCTGAGGGTGTCGGGTGCCTAGATATATCTTCATTGTTGGTTTTGTTGTGGCTGGTCCTGTCCAGTAGACCCACCCCACCACATGGCTAATTTGACTTACTGTGTTTTCAGAAGAATGTTACAATGTATGGCAATTTTATATTTAAAAATAATTTCTGGCATTGAAATTATGGAGCACTTTTCTTAATTTTATCCTCTAATCATCTCTGAGAAAAGCAAAAAGCATTGTCTGTACTTTTAATTAAGAGAAAACAGTCATATAGAGAGAATGGCTTGTCCAAAGTGATGCTCATGGTCAAAGGGCCATGCTTTGGGGGGACCCTAATTAGTCACTGTGAGACAGGATAGGATCACAAAAACCAGATCATTTAAATAAACCTCATTCCCTTTCTTGAATTATATTCTGATGGTTATAAGGGGCTGTCATGAACAGAGAAACAACCTACTCCCAGGAAAACATATGACAAATCTCCTGTGTTGTCATTTAGGGAAGGATGGGGAACTTTATGGGTGAAATGAGAGTAATTAGATGAATTGGAAGCTGATTATATCCAAAAGAAGGAGCTTAAGTTGATTGTCATTAACTTGCCAGAACAGTCTACAGAAATTTTCCATAAAGCTCTATTTTCAGTCCTGTCCAATTCAACAATTTTATCAATTACCCGGGAGAAGTCTAGGAACTTGCTTACTAAATTTGCAGCCAACAGAAAGAATAAAGATTTAGTAATTCACTGGGTGACAGAGTCAAGTTCCAAAAATGTCTATTATTTAGCATGATGGTTTGACATTTATTAAGCAGAAAGATAAAGTCCTATATTTAATTAGAAAAAAATGACGAGTGGAGCTGAACGGAAAGCAACCCAGAAGCAATACAAAGCTGTTTGAGGTTTTAATTGACCACAGGCACGATGCAACTACTGAAAAAAAAAACCAAAAAAACCAATCTCTTCTTTGGGGGGAGCTGAGGGGAGATAGAGATAGAAAAAGACAGACAAGACTGATAAATATCCTGCCTGTGCCTATTTTGAGTATTGTGTTTGATGTGAGGAATCATATTTTAAAGATACTGACACATTGTTTAATGAATGCAGATGAGAGTGAAAATCGGGGATTTATGTTCAGTAATTTCTGAAATCTTCAACATTGTGGCTAATGAATAAAATACAAGAATTTTTCTTTGTGGGGGGGTGACAGGAAGTTTGGTCTAACTCTGGGTAAGTTGCTTAATATGATATAGAAACAGTTTCAATTTATGTAAGACATAAGCTAGTAGTAATATTTAGCTTTGTAGTATATGTCAAATGTGGTTTGATTGTAAAAACCTTTAACATTTATTTACTTACAGGGAGGGGGAATTACGGGGGGGGGAGAAAAAAGAGAGAGAGAGAGAGAGAGAGAGAGAGAGAGAGAGAGAGAGAGAGAGAGAGAGAGAGAGAGTCCTGTGGAGGCCAGAAGACAACTTGCAAGGCTCAGTTCTCTCCTTCCACCATGTGGGTTCCAAAAGTAGGAACCAGGGATATGTGATCAGGCCTAGCAACAAGTGACTTTACCCACTGAGCTATCTCTCTGACCTTGTAGAAAGCTTTTAAAGCCAACTTTCAGAAATCTTCATTAAGTAATGTGAAAAAAGAAACGTGTTTAACACCTGAAATGTTTTAGATGCAGGTTTCAGTGAGACTTTTCAAGGTTATATATTGACTCTTGAAAGGTAATGATTCATAGAGAAACCGACTGTCAGAGGTCAAAAACTTGCTGCAAGTAATATCGTTAATTTTGCCAGTTTGAATTTGAGTTATTTGGGAATCGCAACGCTATCTCACACCATTTGAGTCTCACTACCCAACGCGTGTTTTTCCTTAACTTTCTCAGATAACTAAGTGAAGGGAAGAGTTTGAGCTTGTCATCCATCCATCAAATTTGATAGATTTTTTTTCTATAGAGCTTTACCACGTCAGTTATATTTATTACTTGTAAATTTATTGCTTCCTGAATTCCTGGAACAATTCTAAGGTTTGGGGAATATTTATTTTGCTTGTTCTGGCAGAGCAATGCCCAATACAGTGCTTGAACAGACTGAGACTTTGATAAATATTTTTGAATGGAGACTTAGAGCTGAATTTGTCATTAAGAGAAGTTATTTTCTTCATAGTTTGAAAGCAGGTAAATTGAATTTGTTTAAGAGAACACAAATCAACCCTTTCTTTATATTATCTTAAGTGCACAACCGTAAATATTTTTGAAAGTAGAAAAGAATAAGCTTATGATATTTTCCATGAAATAAACAAAAGTCAATTAAAATCAAATTTAATGCATTGTGACATTCTACAACAATTTTTTAAAGTCTATGGATTTAATAATACAGTCAAAGGCACTTCCCTGTGACCACTAGTCATGACTGTCACCCTGTGTGATTTTTTTCCTCCCACACAACAACTTAAGAGTAGTACTTTAATATTTGTATGTGAAATTTTCAGATTCTTTGTTTTCCTGTCCAAAATCTCTACAGGGAAAGCTTTCCAAGATCATTTATTAGTCACCTCATGATTCCTCCTTGGTTTATACAGACAAGATTTGGGGTAAATCAAGAAGAAAATAAGCTGACTCTTTTATACGTCGTCTGTGACAACTATCAGCTGTTATTGTAGATAGCCTCATTAGAAGGCCTCATGCAAATATGATGACCAGTTTGCTTTCAAATATACTTAAAAAAGACAGCCAACTCAGTCTCCTGAGAAGTGACATTCTGTAATTACCTCCTCCTATCAAAAGAAAAACAATTCCCAGAAATTAATGAATACAGCAAGAGCCTATTTCCTATCTTAATGCTATCTTAATTGCAAAAGTGGATCAATTAAATAAAAGACTGTGCTGGCAAAGCCCCTTGCTTAAGGTTTTGTCTGCCAGTTCCCTAGTCATCAGTTCAATGTACGTAAGCATAACATGAGCATATTTTTACCTTCGGAGATGAGATAAACCAACTCCGCCAGCAGCGCCCCTGAGAAGCAGGCAAATCCATGGAACAGTGTCAAAAAAATCCTCGAAGTTTCTATGAAGGTTCTTGGAACACATCTGTGCGTTATCACATAGACTGAGAGACAGAGAGGTCAGAATTGAGAACACGCTTTCCAGATCACTTTCCTGGACAATGATCAAATGAGCGATGACTGTGCAACAATGACAACTCACTAATAGCAACAAAATGTATAGGCTGGACTTTGTTAAGGTTAATGCACAGATAGATTATGGGGGCAATTCACAGATATCTTTAAATATGATGAATCAAATATGAGAACATGCATCATTATATGGCTTTAAACAAGGAGGACTTGATTGCTTGAAAGTTAAATGTCATTTATATCCCAAATATCACTTCTCTTTGAACATTTCTGATACCTTTTGGATTGATGTGAGGCTTTTTCTAGATAGTATCATAGCAATGTGTCATGAGATCTCTGATTCTGTAATTCCATGTCCATTGGTTCCTTATGGAACATGAATTTATCATGGAAAATCTGTACAAGAGTTGTGAAGTGAAACAAGAATGTTCTAAAATTTCATGACAGTTATTTATTGTTCCTGTGATCTTAAAGAGGTTGATGAGGCTTTCTAAGTATCAATGTCCTCTTCTTTGAAATGGTAATAGTGTTATTATTCATTTTCAGAGGTATTGTGACCTATTACACTACATATAAGGTGCTTAGTACAATACTGATTTGTTATATGTTAAATAAAGGCTAATTATCTTAAACAATATTTATCCTACTCATGCAAAGCACTGTGCAAAACCCTTTATGTATATTGCCCCATGTACTGGTTAGCCCTAAGTATCAACTTGACACAGCCTAGAGTCATCTGAGAGGAAAAGCCTCAGTCGAAGAATTGCCTAAATCAGAGTGGCCTGAGGGTATATCTGTGAAGGACTGACTAATATTAACTGATGTGCGGGGACCCAGCCCACTATGGGCAGCACCATCCCTGAACAGGTGGTCCAGGGCTGTACAAGGAAGTTATCAATCATGAGCTAGTGAGCAGCAGTCCTCCAATGTTCCTGTCTTCAGGTCCTTGCCTCGAGTTCCTGCCCTGACTTCCTTCAGTGATGGACTATGATCTAGAAGTGTCAGCTAAATAAATCCTTTCCTCCCCTGAGTTGCTTCTAGTCAGAGTGTTTTTGTCACAGCTGCAGAAAGGAAGCAAGAACACCCCATTTAAGAAGAAGTGCTCAGAAACAGGCACTAGCACAAGCCTTCTAGTACCCAGGCATGGCTGGGTACTAGAAATGATGGCAGAAATAGGCTGAGGGGAGCCCATGAGAGAAATTTTTTGAAAAATTAGGTAGACATAATCTTTTCTAAAATCAGAAATGTTTTAAAGTAAGTATATATGATTGTGTTCATGTCACATTGACATAGGTGTATTAAAATATGCATGAAAATTTTAGGGATGCCTATTAAAATATTTGATATTTATGGGCTGGAGAGATGGCTCAGTGGTTAAGAGCAAAGGCTGCTCTTGCAGAGGACCTGGGTTTGGTTCCTAGTACCCACATGGCAGCTAACAACTGTCCTAACTTCAGTTCCAGGGGATGCCATTTTCTGATGTCCATGTGCGTTGCATAACATGGGTTGCACTCACATACATGCAGGCAATACACTCATACACATAAAATAATAAGCTATTTAAAAATATTTGCTATTTGCTATACTATGGTGTCTGAGGGGTGCTTCAAAATTATGTAACAGGGAGGAGGAGGGCTCAAAAACGAGAGCAGAGTTGAACCACATTTGCCCCCGAGACACACCTTGCTGAAGCTGGACAATGGATACTGGATGTTCATCTCAGTAATCTGGACGATCATATTTACGTAGCAAGAGGTTGTAGAGTAATGCATTAAATATCATGAACAGTCTTAATTTGGAGTCGTTGCATTATTGCGTTTCTGACCTCTGACTCTTTTGTGATTTGGAAATTTTTTTTGCTATGAGATCATAAACATTAAAGCTCATTTTAAAGAGAAAAGATAGAAAGCCACGTGCTCTAAGCGCTCATCATTTCGCTGCCTCATCTCTAAGAAACCCGTTTTTATTGCTTCGTTCCCCTTTCAGGAATAGGGAACTCTTGGCTTACTTGCACTTCCCCCAGACCACCTCTGCATTTGCCCAGCACTTACTTTCCCCCTTTACAATTTACTATTATTATTATTATTATTATTATTATTGTGTGTGTGTGTGTGTGTGTGTGTGTGTGTGTGTGTGTGTGATGCGAGGGCTACAGTGTCCATGGGGAGGACAGAGGACAGCATGCTAGAGTTGGTTCTCTCCTACCATGTAGCTCCTGGGGATCGAACTTAGGTCGTTAGGGTTGACAGCAAGTGCCTTTACCTGAGGAGCCATCTCACTGGCCCTTGTCCAGCACTTTCAAATGAACTTACATAATGCAGATGTTATTAATGCTCCTTCATGCATTCCAGGAACACCTCTAGTTTATTTTCTGTGTGATTCACATGATTTTATTTATTCATTCAATAAACATTTAGGCGAGTCCCTAGCTGTGCTCCAGGAAATTTGCTCAGTGCTGGGCAAGGGATGGAAAAGGTGTCCATTCATTTTTAGATTTTAGGCTCCGGCAGGGCAGACAGCAGCACAGTGTAAATAATGCCAGGCGGTGCTAACCAGATTCTCTTTGCAAAAATACTGGTCAGGGATGAAGATAGGGATGTTGGTAAATAAAATGCTGTAGAGAAGGGCATCTAATATTGGTGGTCACGTGTCATGGCTCTCACAGCTCTTCTGTACGGCACAAATCACCAACAGGAACCTAGGCCTTCCAGTAGTTTCAGGAAGGTTCACCTGCGAGGACAAGGCTTTGGGAAGAACTGATTCACAGTTATAGAAGGGATTTGGCTTATGAACTTTGCTCACCATAAATACATGGAGACAAATAACAGGCAGAAGGAGTAAGTGGGTTGATTTCTTTTCCTGAGTAAAAGCAGAATGTAGGAGACCATTATTACTTTGCTACTTAATTATTAATCCTCTGCTTTTTCTCTTGCTGGAACTTCTGGTGCAGTGTATAATTCATGAACACACTTTGCCAGCTCTCAGCCTGCTGGTTAATCTCTCTTTGGTGTCATTTCAGTCGTTTTCGAAAAGCCTCCAGTTCCCTTTAATAGGACTTAGCTTTGTAAGTCTTCAAACCTCCAAATTTCAGACACTGAATTGCATGTTCTTATCTTCTTCAACTTCAGTGATCATCAAATTGACTTTTTAGGCTTTGAGATACTTCTTGTGGCCCATCACGATAGAGAAGATATTATCAACAAGTCAGTCACTACTGTAAAATACCCATTACATCACAAAGACACTGTAAAAATATTCAAAGTATATGTGAAAACAGGTCTTCATGCCAATGAGAGGTAAAACGTCTCCAGATAGCAGCTGGCTGTGGTTTACCAGGAGGCCACTAACAGCACGTGTAGCGTCTGTAACATATGGAGACATAACCACCTTCCTAAAGCATCTGGTCCTGGGGACTCGTTGCTGGAGTTCCTTTTTCACTCCACTTGTTCTGGAACAGCTGAAATGTGTTTACTCTGCCTGGCGAGAAGCAATTGTGAACATACGGAGAAGAGCCACCATTTCAGAAAATGAAACTCCCCTATTGTACCTGCAGACCATATCATGTTAGACTACCCATTGCCTCTCTGTGTGTTATTATCTGCCATTCTAAGACATTTTCGTCTATTTTCAGAGTCGGCAGGTCCTTCCTCATCCTCACAGTCTACACTGTCCCTTGTTTTAACTCTGTGGTTTTAACATACATGGAGATCATCCTCCAACCCAGGTAAATCTTGGTTTCTCAGTCCATTGACCTTTTATGTCCTTGTGTCCTCTGTTACTTTGGTTTCCAATCCATTCACATCCAGTGTCACACCTCTACCTTCATCCCAAGTAAGGGTAGGACAACTGTGGCTAGGGAATGACCAGCCCACCACCTATTTGCATAGTTTTATTGGTACACAGCCACACTTGCTCATTGTACATTGTCCATGGCTTGGATTATTCCACAGTGTCATAACTGAATCCATTTACTACCTGCCACTTTTTAAAAGGTGTGCTGATCACGGTTTGACTTAGGAACTGCTACTGCTGTTATATCAACGTTCCTACTTTCTTTCAATTCCTCAACCACTAAATGGCTGCAAGTTCCATAGTGACAAAGTTTTGACAAGTTTTTGTCTTTATTTTTCTTATTTTTTTTTTGCTGTTGTTGTTCTTAGTTGATACGTCTGACGCTCTCAGAGCACTGTCGGGCACCTAAGACTACTGGAGAATACACTGCTATCATTAAAACAGTGTGGAAAGCTTTCAACTTTTCCTTTTCTTATTGGTAGCTCATCTCCAGAGTATCACAGACTTTGCAGGGCAGAAGATACTCCCTGATAATTGTAGGTGAATCATTGTGCCTCTTTGCTTATGGTCATCAACACAGCCATTGTCAATAATTTGAAAACAAAATGTAGAAATTAAAAACTTATGTAGAAATGGTTGATTTCCTTCATTCGTTTACTCAATCAAAATATACTTATTGATAATGTACCATGTGTGGGTACCTTTCCAGAATGAGGGTCACAGGGGACTCTGAGGACTAGGAAGATTAGCCAGGGGTACAAAAGCCCTTGCTTCAGGGATCATGTGTTATATCCAGAGGCAGGCAAAACACACATAAATATATACAAGGTGATTCAAGATTTGGGTGTTTTCCAGGCCTCTGGGAACTTGCAGCAGTGTTGATAGCATGCACAAGCTCCGTGCAAACTCAATCAGGCAAAAATACAGCATAGAACTGGGGAAATAGGCAAGAGTCCCCAACCTCAGCAAGGAACTATTGGCAGCTGATCACTGTGTAATGAGGGAGAATTAGTTTTCTTTAAGGGAGTGATGATAGATAGGCTGAACAGTCTCTAGTGGATGCGCTCACACTGAGGGACATTTAGGGACACAAACTTGACTTGATAGGCCTTAAATATATGACAGAATGCATGAAATCTGATGGATTGAGTTATGGGGGTACAACTAGGGGAGGGGTCTGAATATGATTATGATGTATTGTATGAAATGTAAAAAATTCAATAAAACATGTATTATAAAAGAAAAAAGTATATATGTGTATGTGTGTGTGAGAGAGACAGAGACAGAGAGACAGACAGACAGACAGAGACAGACTGAGGCATACAGAATGGAGAACAGGTCAGAGTGGTCTCTCTGAGCAGATGGCTCTTTAGGAAACGCAGTGAGAAGTCAGCATTTCAAAACAAAAGAAAGGGAATTTTAAACACAGAGTAAGTGCAAAGGCCTTGGGAATAGAAATATATTGGCCACTTTAGAAACACAAAGGTTTTTAGTGAGGGGCGAAGGGTCAGAATATCACAAAAAGTAGTAGTGGGAACAAGATGCAGAAGGTAGACCATTTGAGTATTATTGACCCTGGGAAGGTGAATGAAACTATTTCTATGTCTTTGCTGTGGGACTGTAGGCAGGGGAATTCTAAGAGTGATGTTTAGGAAAGACCGTGATTGCTGTTTGGAAGAGAAGGGAGTACTGTGCCTGGGACAAATTCCGAGGCTCTGGTGGAATCAAGTATGGCCAGGATTAGGTTATATCTCCATGTAAATACTCTTGCTTTTGGATTGGAGGCTATAGGTAAGGAGTAGGGAGGGATCCAGGGGGGCTCCTGGGAGACAAACACGTCTGTTCACATCATTAGGTCTCACATGGCTAATTGGTTTGTGATACAAAGAGCAGACAACAGTGCCTAATCCAGAGTATGGCATTATTTACTCATGCAAAGAGCAACGAGGAAAATGATAAGCTCATCTTGTGGTGCTAATTACTGAGTACTATGTACTAAGCACCGATTGTTTATCTTTGCATGAACTATTTCACTAGAGTCTTTGAACAACTCTTGTTCATATTCTGGGTTGGAGCTGAGGTTGGTCCAATTTTAAGACCAAAGAGTTGAACAATCAGGCTGTATTGCCTCCCAGGCATTACTTGGTTTTGTAGTTCAACACACTTTATACAAGTTTTTCTTATCCCCATTGACTCTTACCCTGATGCTGTAATACAAAGAATAATGATTATTATTTCTTTTTTAAAGACCAGAAAGTTGAAGCTTAGAGTATAAACGAGTCCTCAAAGACTCACAGGTAGCAAGTGAAAGGCAGAAAATGAAGCCAAAGTCTTCTGGTCTCTGGCCCATGGATCCTATAGTAGGCAAATGCTTAAGTGAGTTGGACTCAGTTTCCAGATGGGTAATAAACAAGGTTACAATGAAGTGATTTACATTACATGATCCACCTTTTTAACAGCCCATGGTTTAATGACTTCTTTGGATTCTAAATGTTGAGTCACTGTGCTAAGCTGGCTGGGAGTTTTCTCAGTATAATTACTCACTGCTTTTTTCTACATGCAGTCCGGAACATTTTGGCTAGTTCCAAAACTTTCTAGACCAACACCAGGGCTGATCACAAATGCTGACACAGTGCCATTCGTTAGACTTCTTTTGTGTTCTTTGCTGTGCTATATAATCGGTCCTATCATCAAATCTTATAACTTATCCATGTAGAGCCCACAGACTGAGATACTTTAACATTTAACATAATAAAAAGAAATTGGATTTGCATACCTATGATTACAAATTAATTCATTCATTTAGTTTTTTTGACTAAATCTCTCTGGCTTCAAGTATATGCACATGTGTGTGAATGCATATTTATTAAGTACATACTTAATTTGGGAATAACTTTGAAGATAATACACTCATTGAAGATTTTGGACCCAAATGAAATGATTAGAATTTTCATTTAGGATGATTATGCAAAAGGTTGTATAAAATGGGGGAGACATTGGAGGTATGAAGATACTTGGAGCATGTAAAAACATTCTCAGTAAAGTGTAACGTGGGTCGAGTTACAATAAGGTGTCCCATTGAACGGAAACGAGGAGCACAGAGACAGAAGATGTGATAGGTTATGCCGATAAGTGTATGTACACCCAAATACACACACGTTATTGTATTTCAGGAAGTTTCTGAAGTACTGTGGTGAACTATAAAGTGACTGGTTTAATCAATATAAGCAACTGAGATAATCTAGAAATTTTGATAGTTAATAAACATAATTTGAACATGTCTTATGAAATACCAGTGATCGCATTTAATCTAGTGTAATTTAATTTAAAGACATTAAGTTATCAGGAAAATTACATCAAATTTTCATCTCATTTGCATGTTTATATACTCTCAAAGTACATTAAACATCACTTTTGGAGGGAGTATGTATGTGAGTTTGAGTGAGAGGGAGGGAGGTGGGAGGCGAGAGGATGAATTCAGTTGTAGCTCTCTTCTAGATTTTAGCAGTTTTTTTTTTCTTTTTCTTTTCTGTCTGACCAGACGGTATTGGCTCTAATCAGGTTAGTGAATCCTTTTATCTACATCCAAATAGAAGCGGTAATTGTTTATTGATGGCAGAGAAACAAAGAGAAAACACTACAAATAAAAGAGTGTGAAGGGGCTGGAGCAATGACTCAGCAGTTCAGAGCAGTGGCTGCTCTTTCAGACCTGAGTTCAGTTCCCAGCACCCACATGGTGGCTCATAACCATCAGTAACTACAGTTCCGAGGGAACTGATGTCCTCTTCTGGTCTCTAAGGGCATTGCACTCATGTGGCATACTGACATACATGTGTGGAAAACACACATATAAAATAAAAATAAATAAATAAATAATGAGAGGGAAAATAGGCTTGCTTAAAGTCTTGTGGGATATATTCAGGCAATGAACCAAACACTTGCCGCTTGACTCGTTCCTTCGGGGTGGCATGCTGTGTACAAAGGGCTGACTGAAAGAACATTACTCACCGGCTGGGCTTGCCAGAGCTTCAGCAACTCCAAGGAACCAGACAGAAACAGGCCATGGAGGAAACAGAGACGACTTTTCCTGAAAGAGGCTGTTCCACCAGTGTGAAGAACTTTCTGTGTATCTCAACGAAGCCAGCTGTCATCACAGACAAGCCTGCAGAAATGTTTCCAGCAACTAGAGAAAGACAAAATGAAAAGAAGATCTGGAAATCAAGGCCATAGGCCACAGCATTCTTATACAGCTACCCTCAGGGACGTTTCTGCAGCATAGTTTGCTCCCTGGATGTCAAGACAACAGCTAAGCGTGTGGTGGAGACACACAAGGCTCAGGCTGTGGATTCAGAAGGGCTCAGTTCACCCCCTATTGCTTGATTCACAGGTGAACTTCAGGCTAGCTACTTAAGTCCGTTACCACTCTGCTGAACTGCAAGGCCTGGTAATGATGTTCACTGTGTAGGGTGCTTGTGAGATTTAAGTAAGATAGTGTTCTGCTATTATAAAGACTCCTTGGAGGAAACAGCGTGGTAATTATGGAAGATACGGAATAGATTTCACCTTCCCACATGAAAGTTATTATGCTAAGCAACTTTCCCCTTCCTTTTGATTTTTATGAAACAAGGCCTCACACTTGGCCCATGCTGGCCTAGAATTTATGGAGATTTTCCCACCTCAGTCTCCCATGTGCTATAAATAAGTTTAAAAAATATTTTATTATTTTTATTTTATATATATGAGTTTATTGCCTGCATGTATGTAAGTGTACCCATGTCATGCAATACCCACAGAGGTCAGAAGAAGGCATTGGATTCCCTGGAATTGGAGTTACAGATGGTTGTTAGCTGCTGTGTGGGTGCTGGGACTTGAAACTGGGTCCTCTGTAAGAAAAACCAGTGCTCTTAACCACTTCTCAAGCCCATATAGATAAATTTTTAAAAAAGAGATATGTTTGAGTAAAAAGTGATTTGGGGAAAATTTAAGTCAAAATTATCTCTTTATATGGCTGAAGTTATTATTATTTTAAAATTTTATTTATTATTTTTTATTTATGTGTATATGTGTATTGCCTGCATGTCCGTAAGTGCACCTGTGTTGTGCAATGCCCACAGAGGTCAGAAGAGTCTGTCGGATCCCCTGGGACTGGAGTTACGGACAGTTGTTAGCTGTCATGTGGATACTGAGATTTGAACCTGGGTCTCCTGCAAGAACAAGCAGTGTTCTTAACTGCTGAGCCATGCCTGAAATTATTATTTTTAAATGATTTGGTGATAATATGAAGACATTATTAGGATTTTTTTTGTCTTGTCTTTGATCTTTGCAGCTAATAGAGAATTGAAGACTAGAAACTATTTATGAAATAATTAAAGAGGGGTCTGGGGAGATGGCTCAGTGGGTAAGAGCACTTGCTGTGAGAGCAAGAGGACCCGAGTTCAAATCCCTGGCACTCATGTCAAAGCAGAGCGTGGCTGCATGTAACCAGAGCCCCAACATTTTGAGGCATAGACTGGCAGATCGTCTGTGCTTACTGACCAGCCAGACAAGCCAAAATGGTGAATTTCAGGTTTAGTGAGGGACCCTGTCTCAAAAAATACAATGGAGATTGATAGAGTAACACACCTAATGTACTCCTCTGGCTTTCCACATATGCATACACAGGTGCATACCTGTACATACATGTGCATACACATCACAAATACTCTCTCACATATACAAAAAACTTTATAGAGGAGAAGTAGAAGAGCAAGAATAAAAATCATTAAATAATTAAGGAGGTGAAAAGTGTGAGACAGATGAAAAGGTCCATCGTGGGCAAGTGTCCACATAGGGGCCAGCCCTTCCTTCACTTTCAGAAATTTTCTAGGCTATCTAGGTTGGAAGGAGGGATTTCATGACAGAGTTTATATCTGTTGTGACCACTCCATCTCTCAATCATATAACTGTATGTAATCTTATTGAAACAGAGGTGTGGGGGTTGGAGACATGGCTCACCAGTTAAGAGCACTGACTGCTCTTGCAGAAAACCTGGGTTTGATTCCCAGCACCCACATGGCGGCTATGAACCGTCCTTAACTCCAGTTCCAGGGGAATCTGAAGCCCTCTTCTGACTTCTGCAGCATTGCACAACATGGGTGCCCTCACATACATGCAGGCAATACACTTGTACACATAAAATAAAATAATAAATAAAAGATTATAAAAGAAACAGAGGTGTGGTGGGTTTAATGAAAATGTCTCCCATAGGCTTCACATATTTGGGCATTTTGTCCCCAGTGAGTGGCGCTGTTTTGGGAGGTTTTAGGAGGGGTGGCCTTGCTGGAGGAAGTGTGTCACTGGGGGTGAGCTTTGAGAGTTCTTAAGCCTTGCCAGATTTCCAGTTCCTCTCTGCTTCCTGTGCCTGTTTGAAGATGTGATCCCTTGACTTTCTGCTCTAGTCACCTCTGACACCATGCCTCCCCCACCATTATGAACTCTAATCCTCTGGAAGCATAAGCTCAAATAAGTTTTTCCTTCTGTAAGTTGTTTTGGTCATGGTGTTTTATCACAGAAACAGAAAAATAACTAATGCAGAACTTGGTACCGAGAGTGGGCTGCTGCTGTAAGGAACCTGACCATGTGGGTTTTTGGAGGAATGTGGAAGACTTTGGAAATAACTAATACAAGAAGTAAAGCTTAGTTTAATGGAATTCACTTGAAATTTAGAGCTAGTCCCATTTTACCAACTTGCTAACGTTTTAGATAAAGCAAAGCTTTCAATTTAAAAGGTATCAGTCTAATATTTAAACAGCATCGTGTTTGCTTTGGTTGATGGTTAAGCTGGTCAGTAATTTTTAAATTATATTTTCTCAACATTTTAATGTGCCCATGGAGGCTGTTCTTTATCAGGTCTCCAAGAAATTAAGTGTGTAATAAAAATAAAGAAAACCCAAGTAACAGTTCAAAACTTTGAGGAAAATTCAAATTTATTATTATTTTAAATTGGGCTCAATAAAGAACCATTCATAGTGAACTTGAGATTTTCATCCTGTAAGTAGCCCATTTAAGATGTGAATTTCTCATCAGGTAAAATTCATCATAAAATTGCATTTTTCTCAGTTACTAAGTGTATTCTAGGTGTATCATAAAGAGTACTAACATATAAATTCAATTTAATTTTTATTCTGTTCCTGCTATATGCAAGGCAGTATGTCAGGCACAGTGGGGGACGTAAAATGAACATCTGCTGTCCTCCTATCAGACTCATATTCCATTGAGGAGTATGAAAAGGACCAGTTTCTAGTCCAAGAGGTGAAAGACATCATTTTACGCTTTAATAAAAGAGAACTTGGGGCTGGAGAGATGGTGCAGCGGTTAAGAGTTGATGGCTCTTGCAGAGGACCTGGGTTCAATTCCCAGCACACATATGGAGGCTATGAACCATCCTTAACTCCAGTTCCAGGGGAATCCGACACCCTCTTCTGACCTCCGCGGCATTGCACGACATGGGTGCACTCACATACATACAGGCAATACACTCATACACACAAAATAAAAATAATAAATAAAATAAAATAAGAGAGAAGAAAACCAGAATGAAAAGGTGAGGGTATTATAAGTGGTAATGGCAAAGTCACAGAGCCCAGAAAGCTTTGGGCCAATTTTCAGAATGGTGGGATGCCCATGTTATCTGAGAGTCAGGAGAGAAGATAGATTGGGGTCAGATCCTAAGAGGCATTTGATACATTCTGGAGGCATTGAACATTAATCTGGGATAATAGAATCATTGGAGTTTGGGAACACAAGTAAAATGATCAGCAGTGTCATTGAGAATGATGATTGTCAAGGTCACGTGCTGATTGGTAGAATGGGAATGGCTTTAGAGGTAAGGAAGACAGGAAGCTTTAAGAACAATCCAGGTGAAGTACGGAGGCTTGAGCTATAAGCAGGAATTCTACCTCGGAAAGAGAAAGCAGGTAAAGCCATAGTAGCTGGAGCAAAGGATAAGGACGTGGTAGATGTTATGTTGATGAGAGTCCAGGTAACTGGAAAGCTCAGAGTGGTAACAATATGAATGGGGTCCTTAAGTGGATACAGAGAACATGGCGTTTAATTCTGAACTGAATCGGAGATGTTACGGGTCATCTGAATAGAGCTGCCCAGAAAACCATTAAAAATGCATATTAAAGCTCAGGAGATTGGGTGAATCAAGAGAAAAAGATTCACAATTGAACTGCTGAGTGTGTGGGTTTAAGGTGAGGTGAGGCTGAAAGGGGCTTGGAAGGGACCGAAAAGAATGTCTAAGCAATGCCCTCAGTGGTGATCAGACATCGGTGAGAGAAGAAGGACAGAAAGGAGGTTTAAAGGGAGGCTTTAAGGAAGAAGACAGAACAGAACTATCGGCCTTTTCTTTAAATTCTTCACTCTCCCCATTCCTTCATACTATCGCGATCCCTTTTCTTTTCCCAGTAGCTCCAAATACATCAAGTTCTTCAAATTCTATCCAAAATGTTTTATAAACCAATCTCCTCCTCTCCATGGTCACTGCCATCATTCCAATGCCTTTCTCATTAACCCGGACTTTGCAATGTCTGTACTGACTGGTCTTCCCATTTCCAAGCTAGTCTATGTCTAACAATGAACACTGGCAAGGAATAACCTGTAAACGCAAGTGAATGTTACCCCAAGCCCTCTACATGACATGTGTGATCTGGCCTGGGCTCATCATTTTATGCTAATTGATTGCGAATTCCTCTTATTTTACTGTGGTTTAGCCACATGCATCTTCATTTTTGTCAAGTGTCTTAAACTCTTTCTCACTATAGAGACTTCGATTTGCTCATCTCCCTTTGTGAAACATTTTCCTGACCTACCTCATGCTTATTTATCTTTAAGTTATGTATTTCACAATCTAAACTAGATCTTGTCTGTCATTCTCTCCATTTTCCATACTTACAACCATCTGATATAATGTACCCTGGTGTCTTCATTTGTATCGTGAATGTTTCAATTATCTGTTCATTTGCTCTATGAGAATTGGAACCAATTTTGCTTTTTTCTTTATTACCAACACAAATACCCAGATTCAGAGTAAGCAACACACATTCCCACAGCCACATACCCACACAATAATAACAAACAAAATTAAAAAGAGTGCTTTGGGAAGGGAAAGCCAAACAATTTACTTAAGAAGTTAACAGTAAG